AACGTAAACCAATTTGTTTGTAATTTGTAATTTGAATATATAAATTTTAACACCTATTATTGCTCGAAGTTTGGCCTTTTTTAATTGTTTTTATTATTAATAAAATAATTTAAAAATGACAGATATGAGCAAGTGTCTTTTTTATGTTTAGAATAAATAAGTTCGCCAAAATACTTAAAATCTTTACACAATAGTAATGTAGCTTTTATTCGACACTAATTTTATATAGCTAAAATCAACGTAACAAATATAAAAAAATTAAATATTACACTCACCACATTTTCTCTGTACTCTTTGTCCATTTTCCATTTATTTTCGGCCGCATGAAAATCTTCAAGCGTCTGTGCAGGAAGGTACTCGGGATGGAAATCAGTATCACTATTTACAAGGTCAGATATTGACGTTGCAGAATTCCAATTTATTTTTTCCACTACGTTCTCTAGCATTTTTTCGCATCTTTGTCCTCTTAAATTATTTTCGACGATCTGTTTTAATATGTCTTGTTGAAAGCTTAGCATAACTGCAACAGTTATTGGTATAACATAAAATATCAAATAATATAATGGGGTGAGATTAATGATGTACAATATTAATATGTAAATAATATTCTAAATTAATTCTTTTACCTTTGCACGAGTTGCAATTGGTTTCACCAATCGCCATGTCCAATTCATAAATCTGACGCTTATAAGCGTCAGATTTATTGATATATTTTTGCTTATTTTGTACATCAATATCTGGCTGTGTCACACGTGTCTTTGAAGAGGAACCAATATTTGAATCAGATTTTTTGCCATATCTTGCTTGTGGTGACATATGAAGAGGAGATAATCGCTTATTAGAGTCAGAAGATGTGTCGATATTTTCCTGTTCATCAATGTCTTGTTGTGTCGCACGTGTCTCTGAAGAGGCACCAATATTTGACGCAGATTTTTTGCCATGTCTTGGTTGTGGTGGCACGGGAAGAGGAGATGGTCGCTTACTAGGGTTAGAAGATACGTCGATATTTTCCTGTTCATCAATGTCTGGTTGTGTCGCACGTGTCTTTGAAGAGGCACCAATATTTGACGCAAATTTCTTGCCATGTCTTGGTTGTGATGGCACGGGAAGAGGAGATAGTCGCTTACTAGGGTTAGAAGATACGTCGATATTTTCCTGGAAATCAATGTCTGGTTGTGTCGTACGTGACTTTGAAGAGGAGTTAATATTCGATGCAGATTTTTTGCCACATCTTGCTTGTGAGGGGTTGGGACGAGGTAAATATTTATTCGTAGACCCATCACTTTCACTATTTTCTTCCTCATTACTAAATTCTTTTCGGGCATGTTTGCGACGTTTTATCTTTGCTGCATCGCTATCAGTATCCGTAGAAACATCTGACGTCTTCTCTGCCATTTGTAATTTATCCATAGCTCTATCAAATGTACCTGCAACATTTGTAAGTTGCTCATAATCTGCCTAATCAGAAATGACATTATTTAATTATATAGTTCCAAGTTACATTAAAATGTTACAAACAATTAATATATGCTGATCGCAACTAAAACACAAGTTTCATATTACAATATATATTATAATAAGTATGTCTTACTTGCAGAACCAATTATTTTATCAATAAGTAAATGTTTTCCAATTTTTAAGGGATTTTGCATCTTTTTCACAGAATTATAATAAGTTTTCCAATCAGTAAATGGAGGCCAGAATGTTTTTCTGTTATTGTCAATCAACCAATTGTGTGGAATGACTTGCAAACCATCTTCAAATTCCACGATGTAGTAATTACATTCCTTAATTGTGAAATAACATCGATAAAATAAATTATATGTATTATATTACAATACGATATCTGTTTGACATGTACACAGCTAATATATTATTTATGATTATAAATAATATATAAATTATTTTTATATAAGAGTGTTGAAACATATCAATGTATAATATTTCATGTAGGGTAATGTACCCTTGTTTGTTGTGGTGACACCACGGACGCTGTGTTTCAACCTTGGCGGAAAGTTCGATCGTCAAGGCAAAGGTCACTTTTGAAATTAACGACTTCGTTAGTTAGCTCAACAGATAATTTATTCTAATTAGGCGGAGGCGAGCGATACTGGACGCTGATGTGAGGCGTGCAAGTCGTCGTCGGCTGGTGGAGGCGCGCACTGCACCGTTAAAGACGGATTCGTTCGACACTGAAACGAGCACGGGCGTTCGTGACTCAACGCTAACGGGCGCTTCGTGGTTTCTGGAGCTCTGCTGAACGGGCTCGCGCGTTGAAAATAGGCACGTCCGTTTAATTTGCGCAACGCGGTTGCAACTCCGGATGCAGACAGTTTTTTCACACA